GCAAGAAAAATAAGTAAATCAAACTATACCCTAATTAGCTTGGAGGATTATTATTCCTTATTTTAGAATTATAAAAAATGCTAACCAGTATTTTTCAAAAAGAAAAAAATTATGTTTTTTGTTATGCTTGTGCTGGGCTCGATTTTAGGACTTTGAAAATAAATCTACATGTAATTTGACCCCCAATAAAGGGTGGTCAAAAACTATAAAATATTAATTAATCTCAGTTCACCGATTCACATTGTAGCGTTTTTAATACGAATTAATTTCTATTTATGACTTATCGACCAACATTTACAATTTAGGTTGCACATAGATCAAGGGACAATTATGCATATTTAAAGGGTGGCGGCATTTTTGTTTTTTTAACGAATGCAATACATATATAGTAAAGACTATACGTTTTAACATATGCATGCACGAGACTGGTTGTACGGTGTCGTGATTTATTAAATGTTTCTGTCATGATGGTCACCGGCATGGTATTGGCATGGCCTCGTTTATTAAATCGAAAACCGATATAATATAGTCGGCAAAACGTATAAACAGAAACGGAAGCGAATATAAAAGGGACAAATATCGTAAGCTATGCACCTTGGGATGTTCGAGAGGAGGACTGGTGGCGGTTGAGAATCGGTAGTGGGAAAGGCCAACAGCGAACATTATGAAATATGTTAGGAAAGAGCCATTCGAGATGAATAGGGCGCAATTTACCGAGCAATTACCGTGGCTTTCATCGTCTGCCGAGGTGATGTTGACGACAGTAGTTTCGGCGGTTTTTTATTATTTACAGTAATGACGTTAAGTCCTCTGCGGCTCTGCGAAACCGGGAACAGGCGTTGGAAGCGATGGGAGACCTGCGGGGGTGGAGGGTCGAGGGCTTAAATATTTTATACAGGCAAGGTTTCATTTTAATATCAATCACATTATCATTGCCGCAGTTCTTACTTGCTCGCGTCATCCTAATCGGTCGAGGGGAAAAACGACAAGACGACGATGAGCATGAAGACAATGATGATGATGATGATGATGATGAAGGTAATAGCAATATCCAAATACGATGGCATCCATATTATTTATGCCTTTTATTATATTTTTTATTATTTTCTTTAATATAATATCACCTACATAACCGCGACGACGATGACGGCAACTTTCTTAGAGGAATTTCCGTTGAAAAACGCTTTGAACTTTGAGGGGAAGAGATGTGCAATCAAGAAGATGCATGCAGAACGATAACGTTGCATATTTTGCTTTTACTCCTTTAAGCTTATAAGGCACATACATCGCATATCAAACTCGGTGTTCTCATAAAATATTGTGCCGCATGATAGTTGCTTCTTGTCGAGATCCAACTCTGCCATACTGCAGATAAAAACCATTTACCATATAAATGTGTACACGTCGTATACACATATAGGTTATGAATATATATGTATTTGTTTTTCTGTTCATCGAAAATATATGTTAGTTACTTTGTTCTTTTATAAAGTCCTTGGCCTTTCGGGCTCGTTGACCCAGCCGTTTGCTTTGGTATACAAAATAGAAGATTCGTGGCGCATAAATCTTCCTTAAGGTTTTTGCTTCGCCCCGCCACTAGGTAATTGTTTTCTATTATACATTTATAGTCGTTTTAATGGCGAAGTTAAGTTTATTGTCCGCATTTTACGTTCATTCCGTTTTTATTCTTAGTTTTATAAATCGTCTTGCCTATTTTTCTCGACAACAATGGGAATACGATTGAAATTTTTCATCCGAAAAATTATAACGTCTAGCGTTCCAGACGTACGATCGGTTCGCCTACCTCTGATAATTCTCAAAAGAAAAAAAAAACCACCAAATACCCACATACATTTCAATGAGACCCACACACGCCCTCGTCACGTGTATGTAAATAAATTATTATGGCCCTTTAGCGAATCGGCAAATATCAAACTATACGGGCCACATATGTTCAACCGTCAACTACTTTTTCGCGCATTCATTCAAATTGTTAAAAGAAAAGAAAACATACAAATACTTGATTTATTTATCATGACAAACGGAGAGGTGAATTGGCGTTGTAAGAAACATAAATAATTTGGCTCTACTTGATCACAATGCGACTCATTTTAAAATATCACCTTTAAAGGTCGTTTTCAAAGTGTTACATTAAGATAAAACATTTTTTCGAAACTAAGACAATACGTTTTTCTAAGACAATCTTATGTATTTTTATAATTTACCGCCATTTGTTTTACCTCAAGAGACTACTAACGTTTATTTCGAAGTGCATTTTTTTGAGAGATTATACATTTATATAGTTAGGTATGTTTAGAAAAAGTAGAAAATTGAGAAAAATAAGACAAGAAAGTAAGATGGATAAGTGTATAGAGTTTTAATGTTAGAAGTGGATGAATGTTATAACTAAAGACATGGAGATAAGGAAAGTTAATAAAAAAAAGATTAGGTGCAGCGATTTATAGGGGAAGAGGATTTGGTTGGCCAAACCCTTTTGAGATTTGTATTTTTATTAATATACACCGTAAAGTTAATTGTTATGTTAAATGTTACGTTTTTGTATCAAGGGGATTAAAAGCGGGGATTTTAAGGAGTTTTATGTAAGCAATATTTAAGAAAAACGATTTTAAAAAAAACTCGACCATGTCAATTAAATACAGATTAATTTGTGTAAGGTTTAAGGTATTATTTTTATCTCATTTTTTCAATGAGTAAACACTATTTTGGTGGTATTTTAGACCTAAAGCCTGACAAAACTACGCCTATTTAGGATTGTCCGATATCAATTTTGTAAAAAAATTCTAGTTCTTTGACTAATTCACTAGGTTATGTAGAAAATGTAAAAAATTCAGGTTCCTGTAAATAAATAAATAAACTTTGTAAGGCTTTTTGACCTAAAATTCTAAAAAAACAGACCGCTTTCAATCCTTTTAAAACCAATGTTTGCGTGGCTGTAAATGTTATTCTAGTTTTTAGTGGAAATATAAAGTAATAAAGTAAAGATATGGTATAAGATGGAAACCCCCTGATGCGGACTGTCTTAGATCAGCGGGGGTTTCCGACGTTTGTCAAGTCATATTTTCACTCAGTTATAATTCTCATACCACTCTACAATTGACATATTTTATAATAAAAAAAGCCGAGCTTTCCATCTATCCATATTTTAAAAATTTCAAAATTGTCGCAATTGTCGAAAATAGCAAAAATATTTTTTAAATTTTTTTTTTTTTTTTTTGAGTAAAAAAGGGTTAAACCGTTATCGATCAATAATTGTGATCTCGTGTACTTAGGTCTAAAATAAAAACCACAACCGCACATTCGAGCAACATGATATTTTGTATCTCGTTGGTTGTGTTTGAAGGGAATACCGCAGTTTAGCAATATTATACTGACGGTAGATGGTGGAAAATACCGCATACCATAAGTCATCTAAATGCATTGACCTGATTTTAAATCATGCGTGGAATCTATGCGTTTAATATGTCTGATATCATGTTTGGGGATTTATGGATATTATGTGCGCCATCGAATAACGCAAAAATGCCGCCATAAAATGTGAATAAACAAACAAAAATATGTCTTCTTAAGGGAGACAAAATTATACATGAAAGTGTATAAAAAAATATATGATGTATATTGCAATCCACCGAGGACTTAATAATATTATAATATGCAAATAGAATTGCCTTTTAAGTTGGTTAACGATTTACTAGAGAAAATAAAAATTTAATTTAATTTATTAACCGTAAAATCTTACATATATTGTTGACAACGAATCGTAGAAAATATACCATTATGATTGTTTGTGTAACTCAGTAAGAAATCGTTATGCCAGGCCGATCGTGTATAAGTCGGTGTACACTGCACAAGGTAGCTACTACTTTTTTTAAAGATATAATCCATAAGATGCGATTTCCATAAAAAAAAAATCTATACCGCTATTTATTCCCTCGCTAAAAATGTTGATAAATGTAATTTGTCTCCTTTACCCTAAACGTACAAGTGAATGTCACTTTAAATCTTTTTTATCCAAGTTTCTCTAAAAAATAACCCGTTTTGTAATACATAAACATTTCAGGAATGTCACCGAAATTCGTATTTAAATTCTAGTTAATAAAACTACTATTACAAAACGTGTGCATAACTTACGTTTTCTTAAAACAATTATTTTATTACTTTAACTTAGACGAAGAAGAAAATTGTATCCGGAAAATCCGTTACATCCAACCTGACTATTCTCATTTTAACACCACACTCAAAAAGTTTTCTTTTACTATTTCGAATTTTACCTTTGTTTCTACAAGGTTGATAGGTTTTTACAGTGATGTGGTATTTTTGTGTCTGTACCCAACTTTTTTATTACTGGACCGGTTTACTCGATCGACACGTCTATAAACCACGAATGTTATCTATCTGTACTTATAAGGAGAGGGGGTCAATGTGTTATTGCCCACCTTTAAAGATGTGTCATAAATTCTGTGCCACTGCGTTGTCAAAAATTACAACAATTTTATGATACATTATTCGGTGTAAAGGTTTTAACACTCGAGTAAAAATACAACGCACAATAATAAAGACGACTAATGCGCTTAACCTTTAACAGCAGAGAAGCTTTTTGCGCAATAAATATCAAGTTGGCTGAAAACCTGACCGGAAGTGCAAAAGCGTGCCCGCGAAGTCGTTTAATAAATTTTAAACGGATATTACAGTCGCTCATTAATTAATCACCTTGGCACTTAAAACGCTTTCGGGCCGCCGTTAGGTTGTCCTTATAATAATATATTATTTTACACAACCGCTTAGACTCGACTCCAGACTCTTGTGCCGGTGGTGTACTTTGTTTTCTGTGATTCACTTCTTGGAATCAACTTGTGCAGCATTAGTGTTTGAATCTCTGATATACACAAGCAGAAACTTCTGCGAGTTCCTTATATTATGTACTATGTTTTATGCTGCCATTCATTTTCAAATGTTATTTACCTACGTTTGTTGTTTTACAGAGGAGCGTTCTCCGAAGTCAAGTTGGCCGTGAGTAAGGAACGACCCAACGAAATGTACGCGGTAAAAATAATCGACAAAAAAGCTTTGAAAGGAAAAGAAGACTCTCTTGACAACGAAATCAAAGTACTCCGGAGGTAATATAAATATTTATTAAAGACATTATTATTTTTATTTTTGCTTTACTGCTTGTTACGATCATTATTATTTTTTGTGCAGTATGGCTACACACATTCTAAATAATCTAATTGAACCCAATATCAATATCTGTTACCTCACATTAAACGGCGTACTCGAACACCCGTTACGATATTATAGCATAATAATAACTTCAGTCCGTAAAACGGTTCTATATAGTTCAATACCTATATTAATGTTATAAAATATAATACTTCATATAGCATCCATAAGGAGCTAGGTTACGTTTACTAAATGACAATAAAAACATAATCAGCTTATGTACAAATTAGAGTCGTACCCGTAGAATGGGGATAAGGAGATTAAATAACCCTTCATTGATCCGGTTAATTGGTTTTTTCTCAAAGAATCAAAAATCAGTCTACAAAAATCATCAAAGACAAACACATATGGGAAATTACAAAACAAAGAATATCATGCTTATAATTTTTGAAATACTTACTCCATAATATGATCTCTTAACAGCTGGTTTTTACCTTGAAATGTGGGAGGAAACCACATTTCCCCTTTATTAAAAAGTCTACAATATTATTAAAACATCTAATCTTCTGAAAATTAACTTTCCCTTAAATTCCGTTTGTATTAGTTTTATCCCTTAGGTACTAACCAGAAACATATATGGCATACCACGACAATGCTTTTTGTTAGTTTAAAAAGTGGATAATAGGATAACAGAACAAATAAATTAGCAAGAACATAAAATGCTTTAAAGTAGAGTAACAGGAAAGCGCTGAGAAAACTGATAAGAGACTAAGTAGCCTGTACTAAAGCAAACAGCTAAAGAGATAAAAAAAAAGGGTTAAATAAGATTGCCCTGATTCGTGGATCGTGTTACATAAGCAGTCGCTATGTTTTTCTCATTGGCGTAACTAGAGACTAAAGCGCCCAGAAGCAAGATATTTTTTTTGCGCCCTATAATACACGTTAACATAATATATAGTAAACCGTACAAAACGCCCAAAATTGAATGCGCCCAGGGTAGCTACGCCACTGGTTTTTCTTTACTTAGCTTCGTGCCACCTCTGTATCGCTGGTTATTACAAATATTACATATTGCATATAAAACAGCTCAGAGAAGTGACCCAAAGAAAAATCCACAAATAAACGTTTAATAAAAATGTTTAGCGATACCAATAGTAATCACCGTTCCTAATGAAAGTTAGTTAAAATATAATAATTTCGTGTCAAATTATATAAATAGTTTATGGGTGGATGCGTTAAGCTTACAAACACAAGAAGGCTAAAGCGCACAATATTGTTTGCATGCGAAAAACATGATTGACAAGTAAGTAACCATTTCAAACACGAATCATTAATCTTGAGCGAAAGTGTGCCGTTTCTTAAGAATAATAAAAACTCAAGCGGTGAAAACAATAACAGATACAATTGATTTGTATAAAACTTTATTACAGGAGAAAAAACTTAAATTTGTATACTTTTTTTTTGTAATTTATTCTGTGGCCATTTTACAATCATATATTCAAATTAGTATGAACTTACTTAAATTTGGTTAGACGACACAACTTTTTCAAAAATCGTAATTACAATTTTTATTACAACCAAAAACAATTTCCATCGAGTCGCTTCAAGCAGCCCGCATAAGCCTGTATAAACAAGGAAAAACTGTCATCTAAAACTCTGTCTAAGACCTTTTGGTTGTCACTACATCAATCAAATTACATAACCCCTCAAATAATATGAAGTCCAGCACTAAATCTTACAAACATTTTGATATTTTTATTGACAATTATTATTACTCTGAAAAAAATAGTAGACATAAGAACGCGTTTGTCGTCCTTTATATTAGTCTCAGAACAAAAATCACTGAGAACAATTAAAAGTTTTTAGATATTCTAATTATGTTGTTCGTGTCAAACGATGGCAATTAAATATTCCATGTAAAACCATAATAAAGGTAAAGAGCAATAAAATTATAGAGGAGGCTTTGAAATGTCGAGTTAATTAAAATATAGTTACGATTCAGCAACAAATAGGTCAATCAATAACGTCGTTTATAGGGCAAATTGAGACGAGCAATTTATAATTACACTGAAACGTTCATTTCGATAATCATGGTAATTGAACTGTGAACTTTTGCGTTATTCTAGATACTAATGTGTAATAATATAATATATATGTATATAATACATCAAAAGTATACAAGGCATTAACCTTAGATTTTGTTGGTAAAAATCCTAAAAGTTGATTTAATATTTGATTTGAATTAACCCAAAAGCAAAAGGTTGATTATTTCCAGTTCCACCATAGATATTATTTTTTTTTAAATATTTTGTACAAATAATGTTTTTACTTATGTTACCTAGCATACTAGGTTCTACAATGATGTGAGCTTTTTTATTTTGAATTTATACTTAAATTAGTATCAGCAGTAAGAGCCACATGTTCGACATATATTTAATTTTACATTTATGACCGATTTGTATATGCATAATTCAATAATATAAACTATTGGACGGCATATTGATACATTATTTTCTAAACACTATTTTTTTTTTTTACAAAAAAATGGGTATCAATATGAACCGCCCAAATGTTTTGGGTGGCAGTTAAGATGGCTAGTTAGGTTTCGAACACATTTATTTGATAGTAATGTGTTATACTAAATATTTCACCGTGTTTCAATTGCGGAGCATAAATTATAATATTGTAAATTATATTTCATGGCTTGTACATTGACAACAATCGAAGTTTATACCGGAATTAAATCAGCAATAAAATCGAACGGTCATGATTATAGTTGTTATGGTGGGAAAACGCGTGGCCGGTTCAAAATGTATTTTTCAACCTGTTTTATATTAAAGTTTTTACCTCCAAAAAGTGAGCGAAGAAACAAAATGTCGGTTTTCTGTAAAGACTTCTTACTCCGTCTAGCAGTTTCCACTCCACCAAAGTATAACTAAAAAAACACTAATTCCTTTTGTTTGAATTATTCCGCAGTTTGGCTTTTTTTTTTACAAATATCAGTGGACTACTTAGTGCACGATACAAACCGCGTTTGTATATGAAATCCCCAAAGTTTTTTTTCTGCTATTTTTATTAAAAGTTTTCACGTTCCCAAAGGTTCAGTATTTCAGTCGATCGGTTGTTGTGTCTTCGACATTGGGTAAACTGGACTTAAACTTATGTCCGTTTACTTTCAACTTTTAAGACTACTACTATATTCACCTACTCTTTCGATTGAATTTCTCTGTCCCACGCGACTTTACTCATTAGATATGTTTCTTTTTCCATTGGAACCCGTTTTCTGTAACCCTTTTTGGACGTCTCTTTGGGGCTTTGCAAGAGATGTTAACCGTGGAGAAACAAAACTCACCACCTCAACAATACTAAAAATAAAGTAATATTAACTCGTTCAAAAATTATATTATGCCCTGATAAACTTGTCATGAACCGAATAAAACCCGAACCTCTGTCATTCATAGAATCCAAGTCATTGTCTGAACTTGTCATTACAACGTATAAATTCGTTGGTTTAGTTTGTGAAAAATTGAGATCACATTTTATAAAAACGTAAAGAAAAAAAATGTATTAATTAAACCCTATGAGATATTGAGTGGATCGCTTTAAAAAAATCACCATCAAAAATCAATTATTGTAAAATATTTGTGAATGTTTTATCTAATACCAAAATAATTTAAAGATTTAAAAACATAACAACAATATTATTATTCTTTATAATTGTGCTATGATTTTTATTAATTTTTTTTAGACAATTATTGTGAATTGCATTGTTTTCTTAATCTATAGCCAAATACTCTATTAGATATTTCATACAAAGCTAAAACATATCCCTCGTTTATTAATATATTTATATCTGATCAGCAGAATTGTCAATAATTAAATAATAATACACCTGTATAGTGTGAAAAAAAATTCAAAATATTTTGTAATTAAACGCTTGAATTACTTCACTTGGCCGTTACGTAGACAGTCTAGTCTGTGTTTATAAAATATTATCTTCTTAACACGTCTACTGTGTACAGCCGCTTTGTTTGTACTCAAAAATCTGTACACAAACAAAAACTTACGGCGAACAAAGTAAATTTAACGTTATGAAGTTTTAAAAGGAAAATTTTGTTCGTTTTAAAAACTTTGGTTGTTATACAAGGCGCTCCCAAATACATGGTTATTCATTAAGGTTATGACACTCATTTTCCCTTAAAATAATTGTAATTTTGAAGTTATTTTCTTTTTGGATGCACTTTAGTTTATGTTATTTTACAATATTAAAATTGTTATGTTATTTAGTATTTTCAAGACCTTTATCGATTTTTGAAACTTAAATAGTAACTTATATATTTAATTAAATTTGTAAACTAAGAATAATTTGCTGGAAATTTTAACTCATCGATAACCATTTTTAGATCATTTATTTTAATATTTAGGAACATTAAAAGTAATTATAAAAATCATAATTTTCAGCATATTATTCTTAATTTATAAAGTTTATATCGTTTACGTTAAGTCTCAAAAGTTGATAGAGCTCTAGAAAAAACTAAATAAGATGATAATTTGTATACTGTTAATATTGTAAAATAACATATAAACTAAAGTGCTTCCAAGAAGAAAAAACTTAAAAATTGTAATTATTTTAAAAGTAAATCAGTGTCTTATCTATCTTTAATGAATAACTCTGAAATATTACAATATTAGGCAACACCGAATACACGTATAAAATAACATAATCAACACACTTTTGAATTTGCGTCGGAACAAAAAAAACCAAAACCACATTTTTAAACAATAAATAAACTCCAGACCGCTGTTACAGTGTTTTTGGACATAAGCGATAACAACAAAGTCGGTCGCACGCGATTAAAACGAAAAATATATTTTTTTTTGTGTTTGTTATCACTATTATCATTGTTATTATTTTTGCATTGCGAAATTCGGTCATCCCTTCCCTTGCCCACAAGTA